CTGATAATGATAATAATATGCACTGTCCTTGAAGTTGATTGGTCCACACCCGAGACGGCTTTCTTTAGAGCCTAGTCCCCATTGGTGTTGGACCAGATGACACCAGAAGGCGTACAACTCAAACACAGTGCAATATCAGAGTATTGAGAGCTCGGGGTAAGCATTTACACTATGAGATCTCTTTTACCAGTGGCAAAATATAGTAGTAGGTTTTTACCCTTTTAAACTGGTACAAAACTGGTACTTTAAGTGTGTTGTTCGGAAGAATGGAAGGAACAGGAGAGAAAGGAAGACCTCACAGAGAAAGGCTTAACGACAATGACATGCAAGATCGGTGCCAGAAAAATGTGGCCACTACTTGAGCATTTTCGCATAAGATAGAGGAAAGTGGAAACAAATGACAGAATGTGCAGTGGACACCAACGGGCTATCTGCCCACGGATCGTGATGATGATGATGATTTGAGTAACGAATCTTGGTCACGAACTAGGGAATGCCTGTACGTATATGCTAAATTATATGGAAATAAGCTGTTGGTCTTGAATAGTTTTTACGTATATAGAGTACTCACGTAATGTGTTACTGGACTGTATTTACATGTCCATTGCTTTAAGCGCTTTGCAATAACTTGCAATGAGCTGATGCCAATTGAAAAGTTATTTGCGTACGTTATGAAAATGAGAGAAGAATCTCCAGTGAAACGTTAATCTCGATTTTTAATGTTTCACGTACTCATATTACTGTCGTTTATATGTGTGCTGTTAATGGACGCATTATTCCGTATCTGTTAGTGATGAGCGCCGCAGCAGTTGCTCACAATTCTAAAACTGTCAGAGACTAATAAGCCAATATGAGAGGCAAGTGGCCAAATTTATTAGCTCAAAACAAACCTTGCTCAAGAATGAAGTGCCCTCCCCTGCGAGAGTCATTGTTATAATTTTAAATAATTGCATGGCATAAGCACATACTTTTCTCGTCCCCTTCCTCTTCTTGTTTGCGATGGGTATAACAATGGGAAGTATAAGAAAAGGTTTTCCCCTTTTTTTTCTGGCAACAAAACAGGTGTTAAAATCTTCTTGGTTCTTTCGGTAAAGTCACGTGACTTTACCGAAAGAACCAAGAAGATGAATCCCTGCGGTCACGAAAGCTTTAAATCGAAGGTGTTAAGATGTTAAAACACCAAACTGAAACCTTTTGCAAGGAATCATGTCTGCATTAACCACAGATACTTGTGGTGAAAATACAAACAAACAAAAAAACCATTCTCTGACAGTATATGCATTGTCTTTGAAACTGATTGGTCCACACCAGAGACAGCTTTCTTTAGAGCCTAGTCTCAAACGGTGTTAGACCAGAGGACGCCAAAAGGCGAACAGCACAAAGACAATGCACTATCAGGACAATGAGAGAAGTCTATGACTTCTGCGTGCGTCTGTGTAGTGGCACACGGAGAGCGGTGGCTGGTGATTTCAGGCCAACCTTGCCACCCACGTCAGTTTCCTGACTCTTCGCACACCAATTGCGAGCTGCTGGCGAATGCACCTGTCATGAATCTCCCCACCCGCTGTCAAGTGAAAGCCTCTCTTTGCTCAAACATAAACATTGGCGGTAGGGGGGAGGGGTCATATATGATGATAAGCACTGCTGGTGGAGTTTAAACTCCACATTACTACGACAGCGGCCAATCTATCCGTACTGAAGCAGTTGTTAAATTTTCCACAATTTTTTTTAACTCGTGTCATCTTCGGTGGATTGTGGTCTGGGGTATGGAGACCTAACGGATGTATTTATTTTAATTTATTTTCTCTGCAAATATATTTCCTATTAGATGCATGTTTTTCTCTTGTTATTTATTTATCTTTTTTGCTTGCTAAGTAGTGGGGTTTTATTTTTTTATTTTTTGTACAGAACTGGATAATGATGTGCAGCGTTGTGGGATGCAATTGCATGAATGACGCTATATAAAATGAAATTATTCAAATTATTCGGTGTTCTGCCTTTCACGGGCGGGTCCTTGGCTGCCATCTTCTCCATCCTGCTCCCTTCGCGGCCCTCATTTTTAATTTCCCCAAATGTCACCTTCCTTCCTTAACCTGAGGTTCACAGAAAGCATTGGACGTCTGCCTCGAATCAAAACGCTTTGTGGACAAGCAAAGAGTTTATAGTGCACAAGCTTCTCGCTATAAACTTCGTTGCCTGCACTGAATATTGCGGTCTGATGTCAAACACACAGAAAACAGGACTCAATGGCCACTGGAGGTACAGGGCATTCTGATTGTTCACCCAATGTCAGATGTGCAATGCAGAGAGAAACATCTTAATGCATTAATTTAATCTATCAACCGTCCATCTCTGAATCAAATGGATATGTATGACTCGTAACATAATTTTGCTGTTACTAGTCATGTAAGATATTCACACACGCACACACGTTTTTTTACTCATCCGTTACTTTGTCTTTTTGTCACTTTAGCGTAAAATTGTACGACAGCGTGACAATCCTTACAAAAGTTGTCATCGCAGCATCCGATGTGCAGTCGTAACGGAATTGTTATTTTTAAAAAAAATTGTAAAGAGCTCCGTTCACAGTAAGGCTGTACGACACAAAATGTTGACCTCTGAAATGAAAAATGTAGATAAAACACACGTGAGCATTTTTTTTTCGAAACTTATTTTACAGGACTGTTTTTATATATACATGCGTCTTCATGAATAGATTATACTTTAGTATCACACCACGGGTTAGTGCCGTGGTGTCAAGGGTCAGCACACGGGATTAGCAAACCTGAGGTAAATTTGGTTTGATCTCCCAGCACGGCAGTTCAAGTTCAAGTTCATTTATTAGGTATAGCCCTGTGAGCCATTCAGCTCTTGAATCGGGTGCAACCGCAACAAACAAAAAACAAAAACATGAACAAAAAAACATCTTAAAGTGAATATGTGACTAAGTGCAAACAGAAAATCCAAGAAAAGACAGCAAAAATATTGCAGAAAAAACACCGTACACCAACGCTGTGTGCAAAAATCCCAGTGGGATGCAAGTCAAACAACAACAACAACCACAAGACAACTTAGATTAAGGCCATCAGTCTAACTCTGTACTACAACAACACAAACATGGCTAAACCAATACACTTTTCGAAATCACCAAAATAAAGCCATGAAGGCAATGAAAAAGCAATCATAGGAACTGACGGAATTTTCACAATAAATGGCATAAACAACATGTACTACCAAAACCCTGCAGCCATAGCTGGCTGCATGAGTTGAAGCAATGGGCAAGTTTCTTCAACCCCCTTCCCCCACAACCTCTGTCCAACCCAGCAGTGTGAGTGGCTACCAGAGGTGTGGACTCGAGTCATGTGACTTGGACTCGAGTCAGACTCGAGTCATGAATTTGATGACTTCAGACTCGACTTGGACTTGCATAACAATGACTTTGTCCCACCTCTGAGGTGTGGACTCGAGTCATGTGACTTGGACTCGAGTCAGACTCGAGTCATGAATTTGATGACTTCAGACTCGACTTGGACTTGCATAACAATGACTTTGTCCCACCTCTGAGGTGTGGACTCGAGTCATGTGACTTGGACTCGAGTCAGACTCGAGTCATGAATTTGATGACTTCAGACTCGACTTGGACTTGCATCACAATGACTTTGTCCCACCTCTGAGGTGTGGACTCGAGTCATGTGACTTGGACTCGAGTCAGACTCGAGTCATGAATTTGATGACTTCAGACTCGACTTGGACTTGCATAACAATGACTTTGTCCCACCTCTGAGGTGTGGACTCGAGTCATGTGACTTGGACTCGAGTCAGACTCGAGTCATGTGACTTGGACTCGAGTCAGACTCGAGTCATGAATTTGATGACTTCAGACTCGACTTGGACTTGCATAACAATGACTTTGTCCCACCTCTGGTGGCTACTACCACAGTTTATCGATCGACAGGTCACGTGTGGTGGGGCAACGTGTGGGTATCCCCATCTTATCTAAAATGTCTGGCCAATGGGGAAGGCGAGGTCAAAACATCCTGCAGAGGACCTTTCGAGAGCTCCCTCTCGTATACGCCCATTCCACGAGCAGTGGTGCAAGCAATTGCAGGGCTGAACCTTTACCTTTTCTTACCCCTTTACCACATTAATGAGCGAATCTAGTATTTTCTACAAGAGCAAGATATGTCATATGGGACAGTAGGCCGAAACACTGAATAATTTATTTTCCTCATTGGAAACATATTCAATATACGTATTATTCATTTTGTAAGTTCGATTAAACAACAGCTGTATGTGCAAGGTATTTTATAATGTCTTCTTAATCGAATTAGTCGACTGGTCTTATCGTTATTCATGCGTCTGCTTACATTTTTACATAAAATTCCATTTGGTGAGTGAAAACATCATATACAAAGACAATTTGCCAAATGGTAAAAGGTTATTTCTTTGGACGAGGAAGATGTGTGGTAATACGCAAACCCCATTCATTTATTTTAAATATATGTTTTTGTATGTATTCATGTCTAGAATTTTTACAAGGTGACTGAAATAAAAAGTGGAAATATAGGACACACGTTGATATTGTCTCCTTAAGAATGTGTCAAATTGTCTGCAGCCGAACCCTCATTGATCTATGTATATTGTGTCCGTTTATGAAGGTCATTATTATCATAATGCGCCCTGCTCTATCAACTGCTGGATGTAGCCCTCCCCCCAGGTGCAGACAATATTCTTCATGCTCTAGTGGGGCCACGGTCTATCTCGTTCCTGCGTGACAAGCCGATCTCATCGCTCCATTTCAACGGTGGTCTTCTCCTTGAGCACGTTCCCTCCTGTGACTAATTTCCATCGGCCATCATCCCTTCTTGCGCTGTGTCCTGCTCAAATCCGCATACTTTCCTTAACATTCAATGTGACGCCTCCAATTCATGTGTTCCGTGGTACATGTAATTCCAAGTGTATATATCTTCATGCTTCTTTAAGTATTTTTTTTACTTCTATTCTATTTTATTTGTTGTTTTTCAAGTTTCTGATCAATATGTCTTAGCAGCTAATATGCACTGATGGTAAACATTATTCGTTTTACACTGCGGTTTATCGCTTTTCTTGATCAAATTCAGTTTCCAAAAGCATTATATCCTTCTCTCGCCTTCAATAATTGCTCGGGGTATAGATATTAGTTTGTGTTTTCCAGTTGTGTCCTTAATTATTTCTGAAGCGAGTGTATGGTACATGATATTTGTTTTGCTGATATCCAACGTTAATCAAACTGTCACCTTTTTTGTTCAGTGATTCCATGATTTCATGCAGTGGATTGGTATTTGTTATTATCATGGCGAATGTGTCATCATAAATTCCAGATGGTAAATGCTTTAAGCATGTATGTTTGTCTTATTTCTAAACCCAATTTTATGAAAGTACCGGAGGATTTTCTGTTTTTTTTTTGTTATGAACAGCATTGGTAAGAGTGCATCTCCTTGTATTGTTTCCTGCTTATATAATCTCGGTGGAGTTGTTCCATCATTGTAAATTGTTTCGATAGGTCTTACTTTGTTGCAAAGACATCAATTTGTGAGAGGTTGCTTGTCTGCAATCCGTTTCCACCCTTTTCCTCGTTTATTAAAGTGAAATGTAACGGTTGTTGTTTTGTTTCGTATCTGATTGATAACATGTGGTCCATGGTAGAAAACCCATTTTTGTAAATACATTTTGCTTGACGTCCTTGGTTGGCATCTTAATTGGCCAATATTCACGTCAGAAATTATCTTCCTGAATAATGTATACGTGAGTCTGTGATTCTTCATATCTATTTTGTCTTGCTTTCTGAATGTTATACTTCTCACAGAATGTTTAAGAGGGTCCCGTGTGCAGCCCAGCTAATGGCCTTTTCAACATGAACGCTGTTATCCTGTAACAATGCATGCTCATCACCACCACCACCACAGTGGTTGTGCGGTCGGCTGCCAACTCTTGCCTGCCCTTTGTAGTCGTTGTCTCGTTGTCAGGTGTTGTGTCGGGTTATCAGATCCGTGTTATCACATTTGTCATTCGATTGATCTTGGGTCGTCCTCTCCTTCTGTTTCCTTCTGCCATGCCCTGTAAGAAGATGATGATGTTGGATAGTCTCCCCCCCCCCCCTCTTATCTTGTCACGGTTGTGTGGTGGGCTCTGTGGTATTCCTCTCCGCCATCTCAGCCATCTCACCTCGAATACCATTATTCTTTTTTCCTGTCTCTGCAGTCAGAACTGCTTTCTTTGCATGTTTAGTGTGTTGTCCTTCCCCCACACCTCTATATACGATGCGAAAGCATTTCAATATACACGCAAGTGTCCATGCATATTACTATCTCAACAATATCAGAATGAACGGTGCTATTGTAAAGTTGGTATGAAAGTTGTCATAATTAATGTTTCATGATACAGGAATTCTGGAGCTAGAACTTACGCCTCTCTCTACCTGTTGATGTTTACCATGGATTATACATCCACCAATCCTTCCTCTGGGATTACAATTAAAATGTCATATTATACTTACTGTCTGTCTAGTGGCTGGTAAATAACGGATAACAGCGAAACCAATGTGTGCACTCATGCAACCCTTTTGGCAAGTTGTGTGAAAATCAAAGTACTGTAGATATCTGTAATGTTTCATGACTCGGGTCCGCGCGATGTGGCGATGCTCTCTCTACATCGCACGATATAAGATCCACTGGAATCGTTTCGTTCGGTTTCTAAAATATTCTTAAAGCACAAGCATCATCACTGGTTTACACAATTCTTAATTTCCTTCACAAATTATTTATAACATTAACTCTAATCGTTACAGTTGTGAATAAATAGCTATTGTACAATTATTTGACTGTTGCTACATGTTTTCTCTGGTTAATGGTGCCATGGGAGGTTACGTGAAGTCACCATTCACATAATGTATTTCATTTGTTATTTGTAACTCACAGAATGTGCATTACAAGAGTTGTAGATTGTAGAGAATATAAAACATTATGGTATGCTTTTGTTGAGTGAACAGCAGTTACAGAACATATGATTGCATATGTATTTGCACTAGAAGTACAGAAAAGTGAAAATAAAACAATAAATATATGAACGTGATCTTTGATATCGCTGTGAATCATGATACATTTTTTGTACTTGAATAGTTGTGACTTAAAGGACATCTGCTGGTTAGAAATTGAATTGATCCACATGGTTCTTCATATGTAGCGTGCACTGCCTTCAAGACACATGAAATCAAATTTAAGTTTTTACATCTATAATTATTTTAATATGTCATTAAACAAGTTTGGACATACGTATCAAGAAGATATTTAAATTTTTAAAAGAAAAAATGTATTTAACCAATTGAAATAGCTTTGAGACGTAAGGTCCATTTTTTCAAGCGAAACCAGCGACACCAATGGAAGGAGTGCAGTTAACGATGCAGCATTCATAATTAATTGCTAATACTGTAATTGTTTTTTTACTTTGGAAATGCTCCCAGCCTCATAATGGCTTATAACTGCAAATGACTCCCACGGGGACTTTGAGCATTCACTCTCCAGTAGCCTTGAGCGTTGCCAACCAGCTCACACCAATCCATCAAACCCACGAGTACACACTGGTGCCATGGCGGTGGACCACAACTCACCCAGGCCACCTCCTCGCTCTTCGTTGCTTTAAAAGGAGTGCAGAGGTGCGCGGCGGTGAGGATGTGATTTCCAAAATCACGTCGCCCACACAGAAGGTGGATGCATCTTTACCGCTGGCGATTGTAAATGTGCGTGTGCCTTCAGGGGTAGTGTAGCAGTTATTGATGGAGTGGTAGTGTAGCGGTTAGCGAGGTGCACTTACGAACCTGGGCTTCCCGAAATCGATTCCCGCTCACGGCCAACACCAGTGACTATTATCTGAAATGGTCCTTTGCCTCAGACAGCTTAGGGAAGAAGTCTTGAAGGTACTTTAAGGCTGCTGACTCCTTATCTACGGTTCTGACAAATTGTTTCATAAGGCCCAACTTGATGTGCAGTGGTGGCATCAGCACCTTCCGGGGGTCCACCAGTGGCTCCTACTTGACGTTGTTCCTCCCCAGACAGAACTCGGTCCGCAGTGGCCAGTCCCGCCTGTGGTAGTGCGCCTTAGTGTCCCTGCTCTCCCAAAGGCAAATATAGCAGGGAAACTTGGGAAAACCACCTTGGAGACCCATCAGGAATTCCACTATTTTGAAGTTTCCGATGACCTCCCAGCCATACTCATCATACATCAAGGCATCCAGCAAGATCTTGATGCTGTTGTAATCCTCTTTGAGGTGCACCCAGTGTGCCAGGGGAAGAGACGGGCACTTGTTACCATTATGGAGCAGCACGGCTTTGAGGCTCCTGGATGAGCTGTCGATGAAGACGCGCCACTCATTCTGAGTCACAGGCGATTCCGATTGCCTCGAAAAGACTGGTCACATTGTGGCAGAATCAGAGTACATATTCACGGGTGAAGAAGCTGCAAAAAGGTTGGTGACGCTTCCTCTGATTTACGACTTGCACACTCGCATCCAACAAGTTCCACTGCTCGACGTCAAAAGCTCGGCATTGGACTTGGTGAGACATATATCAATGATCAAGTCGTTGAGGTCTTTTTGGTTGAGGTAGTATGGGTTTCTCTCCGCAGCTCCACCTCTGAAATTGTCATATGGATGTATGTGTTCCTCGCTCTCTGACTTGCTGCTCTCTTCTAAAGGCAGCTGCTCTCTTTGGAGGAGTGGGTATGGGCAGCTCATGGCAGTGTGGCACAGGGGCGATGGATGAAGGATAGCAGGTGCATTCTTGCCAGTCTGACGTTTGGAAGGGTCCAACTTGCAGCAGTTGCTTGAGTGGTCAGTGGGTTCCCGCCAAATTCTTGGGAAAGCGAACTTCATGGCTCTCTTTTCTCCCCTCTACCATCCTACAAAAATACATTTATTTCACCCATTACTAATGTGTAAGAGATTCTCGTAACATTTTTCATGTAGAATATATTTTTTCAATAACAGAAAAAAATGTAAAACATTTAACAATTAAATACTTTTGAAACTTTTCAAATTTTAACAAACTTTTCAAATTTTAACAAATTTTATAACATAAAATTCCGAGCAACAATTGTCTGTCTTACCTTACAAAGTGTTTTTGCATTGCTCTCAGGTGAAATGAGGTACCCAGGGTTTGTCTTGATCCCCGACAAGCATGCCCAAATATGCCTTGTAGGCCTCACATATCTAAGCAGATGTTTCCACAGAGTACTTTTTCACTCTTGTCTTGAGAAATTGGCTGCAGACATAGCAAAATGCGTCTGCTGGATGCTTGCAGCCTCTTGATGCCATCTCAGAAAAATGCACATATGTATCCACTTAGGCAGCTGGAACTAAATGGAACTGGTGGGCTTGAGGCCCCTGTATCTTCCTACTATTTATATTACTGTAAAGTTCTAGAATGTTCTAGAAGTTACTCCAAGTTTACTCAGCACTGAATCTATCTGGAATGTTCTGGAAAATAGGTACATTTCTAAACATTACTGTCCTGGTCACAAAAGCAAAGTTTGTGGGGAATAATATCCATTTTCTGTACTTTTGAGGCATAAGCAATTAGGAAATAACACTTACTACTCAAGGACAAAAAAAATTGTTACACAGTGTTATGAATCGCTTCAATTTCTTGATGAGTTTATTGTTTTTTTTTATCCCTCCAAATAAATACCATCAGGGTCCAATTCTGTCCATCATTCATCACCGAGGATACCGCTTTATATAACAATTCAGTGGGGAAGAAAACAAATAATAATCAGGTCCTGAAAACACATTTCTCCAAAAATATGTATGCGATACAAGTGTAGTGTAATAGCGCCGACTGGTGGACAGCAGCTGCAACTGTGGTGGACAGACAGTACACACGCCGGTGAGGGTGTGCACGAGGTGTGGGCAGGTGGGAGAAACTAGGGTAAGGGTCACGGAGGACCCCGTCTAAAGGCCCCTGGAACCTGCTAGCGGGTCCGAGAAGAGAGGCACGGTCAGGGCATAGCCAGACCGCGGTGGTAGCATAAAAGGAGCCGAGAGCGGGGGTTCGAGGCTGCTGGTTCTGGGAATGGAGTCATCTCATTGTCGCCATCGTCACCAAACGTCTCCGCTCGATATTGCGCTACGAAGGATAGTAGTTGGCTATCTCAATCAGTGTTAGACAGCTAGTGTTATGTACAGGCTATGCTAAGCTACTGTGGAGAGTGTTAGGACAAGACCGTGAAAGTTGTTAATAAAGAAAGTGCCTCCTAGAAACTCTGTCTCTGAATCGTTGACACTACACAAGTATATAAATATGCGTTGAGCAAGTCCAATCCATCGGAATGTACTCAAGTGTAAGTGGAAAGTAAGTAAAAAGGGCGTTTGTCAAAGAGCGGTAAATTGCAGGCCTGCTAATAGCCTGGTTAGAATAATCTGTTCTGCCTAAACCTTGACAACGTGTGGAGTTAAACTTCATTCACAACAAGATAATTGTTTCTCATGGGAGAGATATTTTCTTTTTCACAACTCACGTTTCAAGTTTATCTTGGGTTTAGCCAGGTGAGTTCGCAACAGATCAGGATAGCCTAATTTCCAAGAGTAGCTTAGGGCAATAGCATGCCAGTAGGAGGTGATCATTGTTATGCATAATCCCAATTGAGTAACTTGCAGGTAGTTTTCGAATTTCCAAAATTTGGACCCTGACGTAGCCACACGATGATCTACTCTTGCGAATGACATCAGGGGATCTTGACTGTGCACTGTGATGCACACGGTGTGTAGTACAGTCTGTTCTCCTATAACGCTGCATTTTTCACAAGGCAAATTGGATACGACGTGATTAATGTATGAGGGAACACGTTTTTTATAACGCGGATGCGAATTGGATATAACGCGATTGAGCGAACGGAACTACGCTGTGCAAGTAGGAATAAGCGGTTGGACGGCTGCCTCGGCGTAGCATCACACAAGGCATTGGGGTGCTGCTGGACGCTTCTAGATGCTACCCACACACCTCAGTCTTCGTTCAGCCTGTGTACGCATCTCACGTCTTATCACGGACTGTGCTTTACCCTATATTATACATTATTTATTATAACGCGATTTTTCCATAACGTGGTGTTCTTCAGGAATGCAGTTACTACCGCATTATAGGAGAACAGGCGATATTGTGGTTATCACACCTGCCGTTATAACCAGGGCTGTCGCTGGATTTGAACCGTGAGCCTCTGCAACAAGGTCACCTCCCCAGCAATGCCTCGGTACACAAAGCACTGCTCGTGCAGACGGCTCCAATCGTAGAAGACGACCCTCACCAAGAACTCCCAACATCCACCGTTTAGTAGTAGTAATAATAATTTACATTTATAAAGTTGCGCATTCCTTCTGTAGATGCCAATGCGCCACCGTGTAGGGAAAGCAGGGAATAGATAGAACTTGCAGGGTAAATGGCCAGAACTAGGGGGTAAACCGTAAAGGTCAATTTAAAGAGGTGAATGTTCAAGACAAGACCTAAATAGCTCCAACGAGTCTGACTGTCTTATAACCAAAGGAAAAGCGTTCCAAAATCTGGCAGCTGTGCAGTAGCAATGGCCGGTCACCCCAGGAACGAACAGAGCTTTGACCTCAGAAGACTTAGAAGAAGGCGATCTGAAGATCTTAGGGAGCTCGTTGGAGTGTAAGCGTGGATCAGTTCCTGCAAATATTTCCCAGTTACCACTACTACCCCTGTGGTATTTCATAGATGAGGTTCATTCTTAAGGTTAAGGCTACCTACTGAGACATTGTGAGTGGCGAGGAGGTTAGGCTCGCTGGTGACGATTGGTTTTGAATGACGGTGTACTGCGAGACACGGGAGAAATAGTTCCGACTCACCTCGAGTGCGTTCAGGGAAGTTAGTAGTTTCCTGCTTCTGCTGTTCTATACCTGGCTTATACACCAATCGTGAACCTTCATCAGGATACTTATAAGCACACATTAAAAACGTGATGGGGTTATAAACACGAGCACGTGTGTATCAAGGAGCTTGTTTCGATGGCTACGCGGCTCACTCCTAACACATGCATGGAGTCTGTCGCCATGAGTCGAGTGTTTTAAGAAAATGCCTCAATCCCAAAATCAAGAGGTGTGACCGAAACCTGTGTTTTTGTAGATTCTATAAAAAAAGAACCAATGTGATTTTTTTTTCAACTCGAAATCACTTTTGCACTTCTTCTGGGGTATTTTACACATCGAAGTATTTCAATTACTCCACCTGGTTGTTTGCCCTTTTCAAAAGCACTGCCTTTATGTTCACCCTTCAGGCTCTGTGCACACAGCACTGCAGATGTAGGTCAACACCTTTTGCAAGAGGCCTCGATTGCAACCCCCGCTAGCTAGGCGGATTGTACGCCAGTGATTCACAGGATGATGTAATTGTTTCTCCGTGAAACAGAGGATCATAACGTAGCACCTCGGCTTCTATATGTACGTGTCACAAAACCCTTCAGACTGAACTTCATCAACAATCCTATAATTGATGTTTCAATGCACAAACTGAACCTTCAACTAAATCGACCCGACCGACCTCTGCGCCCAGTCTTGTCCCATCGCAGAATCTACGCGGGTTTGTTTGATCCTGGAATGGGAGACTCCCTGCGAATACCAGATTGTAGAGCTTTGGCAGTGAGGTGACCAGGAGATGGCACTTCATGTTTTTATCTATATGCGCAGACCACTGAGTCGTTCTCCTCTCGTAAACGTGGCTTGTCTCTGGTTACTTTTGTTTATCTCCCATGCAAAGACTAACGATCATTCGTGGAATTTTGACCTAACGTCCTAAAATCCTCTTTGGTCATTTGCGTACTGTATGTGTATTTTACTTTTTCCAACATGCTTGAAAATGATTATAAAAGCAAGTAGAGTTAAAGCGATCAGATTTGTCATCGTCGTCGTCGGCTGGACGAAGGCCTCCCTCGTGCCGTCGCCATCCCTCACGGCTCTGCGATGCCACATCAATCTCACTCCCGCACGTGGACAGATCGAATTGCTCCATCTCCGTGAAGGGCGTACTCTTAAGAACTTTCTCTCCCTTTGATTGCCATCGCGGCGCCAGATTTGTCCATCGACCATTGTTTTCATCCAGCACGTGTTCTATACCAAAGCCCATTCACTCCTTTTAAATGTCAATATGAATTATCTGATTTAGCTGTTTCTGTTTTTCATGCGTTATTCGTACTGCCTGTCAGTACAATTATAAGTCCGCCATGCTCGTGTGTGCACTCTTCAGATTTTTTTTTTGCAATTTATTGTCAGTGTTTAAATTTCTGATCTCTATTGTCAGAGCAGATAGTTAACACTCATTTAACAGTTGGTGCCTCAAACACTTTTTAAACATCACACAATTTTAAACATCACATTCAGTTTCCTAAAACAATTACTTCTGTCCTAATCTACATTCAATAATTTGCCGAAGTATGCATATTCCGGTGTCCTTCCAACACATAATTTCAATTTTAAGTTTTTTTATACAGTTTTATAAATATATTATTCGGTTCAGCAATCATATTAGTAGTTTGGGTTCATGTAAGGACAGCAGCTCGCTCACACTACATAGCCTATGATCATCATGATTTTAACTACAGCATTCAATCAACCGAGCACTTGGTAACGAAGAAACATCAAAAGTAATTAAGTAATTGAATAACATTGCTTTGGTGAAACCAAATGCGGGATTTCCTCGCTTCTAAACTTAATCAGTAAACTGAGGACTCTTCAAAGGCAACCCTCCCAGCAAATGGGGGGTTGCGATGATTTTGCGTACGCAGTACTTGATAGACTTATTAAAGTGCTTTATTTACATGCAGTCACGCGTGTAGTGCACTTATTAGGGAAAAAAAAGTGCGTGTTCCTATTTATTGTTCGGCAATACGGGCTCTTGCGAAATCAATTTAAAGCTGTTCTCCCAGAACATGTCATTGTTATCCAAAGTTAATTTTAAAAAATATTTCACAAAATAGAGGTGCATTGTAGAGAACAGAGAGCGTTTACAAACGGTGACAGTAGGTGATAGCAATTGGTGATACGACCTTGCTCCGACTTTGCTGGGACAGAAGTGGCAATTCTCAGTGCGATACGTTTGGCCATAGCACAATGTTTAGCAGAATAAATAGTTCACTATGCATTTACCAGCATCTTTGTCGAAACTAAAATAAGATTTCTCAATTTTTTCCAGCAACCTTAGTGCTCTAACACTTTCAGAGTGAGGGGGGGAAATGCTAATTTACCATCCTTCTTTCACTGCGTATTTCCCTTTCTTCGCCTTTAAATCACAAAAGTCTTTCCGCCCACGCTGAACCGATTCCAACGTTAGGGCAAGCCAGCTCGATGTAA